GTAGTGAAATGCTTCTTCTAATCATGTAGTTATTAAAAATTTTTAAAAAGAAAAAAAAGATGCTTCTTAGCCACCTTTGCTTCTTCTTTTGAGAACTCTCTGTTCAGTTCCTTAGCCCATCTTTTTACTGGGTTATTTCCTTTCTTGATTCTTTGTTTTTTGAGTTCGTTATATATTCTGTATGTTAAACCTCTGTCAGATGTGTCGCAGGTGACGATTTTCTCCCATTCTGTGGGTTTTCTTTTCACTTCCTTGGTTGCTTCTTTTGATGTATAGAAGCTTTTTAGTTTAATGAGGTCCCATTTTTTATTCTTCACCTTGTTTCCTGAGCAATTGATGTCCGGTTTAGAAAATCCTTTCCTACACCTGTATCTTGTAGGTTTTTGCCAATGTTTTCTTCTAACAGTTTCAGAGTTTCAGGCTTCACTGAGGTCTTTGATCCATTTGGAGTTGACTTTTGTGCAAGGTGAAAGATAGCGATTTAGTTTTATTCTTCTACAGGTAGAGATCCAGCACCATTTGCTGAACATGCTCAGTGAATGGTCTTGGCCCCTTTGTCAAATATCAGGTGGCTGAAATTGCATGTACTCATATATGGGTCTTTAGTTTTGTTCCATTGTTCTGTGGGTCTATTTTTGTGCCAGTACCATGTTGTCTTTATGACTATAGCTCTGTAATACAGTTTAATATCTGGTATAATAATCCCCCCTGCATTGCTCCTGCTGAACATGCTCAGTGAATGGTCTTGGCCCCTTTGTCAAATATCAGGTGGCTGAAATTGCATGTACTCATATATGGGTCTTTAGTTTTGTTCCATTGTTCTGTGGGTCTATTTTTGTGCCAGTACCATGTTGTCTTTATGACTATAGCTCTGTAATACAGTTTAATATCTGGTATAATAATCCCCCCTGCATTGCTCCTAGTGCTTAGGGTTGCTTTGGCTATTCAAGGTCGATGGTGCTTCCATATGAATCTTAGGATAGTTTTTTCCAATTCTCTGAAAAATGTCATGGGGATTTTGATTGGCATTGCATTGAATGTATAAATGACTTTTGGTAGGACGGTCATTTTCACAATATTAATTCTTCCAATCCATGGGCATGGGAGGCCCTTCCATCTTCTGATGTTTT